AGTATTTCACATTTCAAAAGTTACATTTTTACCCAAAAATAATGGGAAGAGGACAGACTGCCTCTTGGATTACTCCTAAGTTATATCTTGATCAGGAGGAAAAGAAACTAAAACATAAAGCAAAAGTTGTATGAAGCAGGTCACAAAACACTCTGCAGGCTTAGTACTGTGGTTTCCAATCACCTCCAACAGAAAGTGAGCGCCCCCCCCCACGGGGAGGCCAGTGGGTGGGGCAGCGTTGGTAATGAACGCTGGGCACTTCTCATTCTAACAGGAAACACGGTGGTGCAAGTAGTGACAGGCACTCTGGGAAAAAAATCCATTGGCTAAATCAACTGTGAACATGTAACTGAACTGGGCTCCGTAGAATTTAGTGAACCCTGCCCTGTGCATTTCATGAATGCTGCATCTGGGTGGAAAATACTGCAAACTATGACTTTCACACACACAATGCAAGTAGTTCTGGACCTGAAGTCAGAAGACGTGGGTGCGAGCTCAGCTTCTTCACTTAATTAGGTGTTTCCCTCGAGCAGCTCACTTCATCTGTCTGAGCCAACTCCGCTCATTCATAATGTGGAAGATAGACCAAAATGCTTCTGAAATACTAAAGTGCTAACGGGATCACTTTGAATTCCATGTAGGAAATTCGTAAAATACTATGTGGTTTTATTTAACAGTTTGAATTTCCTCAATGAGTCACTGATGGATATTATAATACACCAAACTAATAATGACACTAACATTTGAAATTAATATTGAGGAAGACAAATAGCATCTTTTTTTTTTTTTTTTGTCTTTTGAGACAAGGTCTCTCTATGCAGTTCAGACTGAGCTCACTTTGTAGCCAAGGCTGGTCTCAAACTCCCAACGATTCTCCTGCCTCAGTCTCCTGAGTGCTGGGATTACAGATGTGCGCCACCATATCTGGCTGACAAATACCATCTTAAATGTGCTTTTTCTGGAGGTTGTATCCCTTTTGCTTCTAATCAGTGAAGATTCCAAATGAAAGATGTTAGTTCTTTCTGGTAAAGTAATCAGCTCTACTAAAATATAAATAATCCCTCAATGCTATTTTGAATTTTATAACTTTTTATCTTGAAATGATTTTAATATCCAAATATTCTAAAATAATTGCTACTAAGCCTCCCCCAGATTTTTTTTTTTTTTTTATGTACTGGGGATCAAACTCACAACTTCACACTTGTCAGGCAGTGCTTATGCTGCAGAGCTAAATTCCTGGCCCTGCCCAGATTAATTTTAAAAGCCACATAGAATTCAGCTAAAATTCTAGCTAGACTGGAAGGGGAACAGTGATAAATGAATCTGCAGTTAAGGGGAAACTACCTCAGGTTAAAGCCAGTTGGTAGCAAGGCGAGACCCTACTAGGAAAGAAGCATCACGGGAAATGATGCCTGTCACCCCACCACTGTTTCCAGTGTCACCCACTGTGGCCTCCGTGATCAGAGAATGAATGCCCAAGGTTCACTCACAAAGGGTTTGAAGCATCAGACCCCTCAACACTGATCAACAAAATAAAATCTGCCACAGACTCATCAGAATAGGGAGTTTTCTTCTGTGCTCTGATAATTAGCTCCACGTTTATATAATTACATGATTTTAGACAAAGCAGTCACTTAAGTGGACACCTTCATAAAAGAGCTGTCAATATTCCTGATGCTTTTGTTTGTGATATGACAATCAAAACTCCCATTAATTCCCTCAGAATGAAATCTAGTGGAACTATTACAGGGCGCTCAAGAAACTCACCCACAGGACACTGAGATTCGAGAAACAAGTGAGGTTTATTGAAACTGCAAAGGTCAGGGCAGGCCGTTGGCATTGCTGGCTGCTGGCTGGCTGGCACCAGTTCGTTTGCTCTCTTTTCTTATGGTCCCCTGTGTGAGTTTACAAGGTCAGGGGTTACCATCGTTACCACCCTCTTCCGGTACTATCACTGCTTTGAAATGACCTTCCTACGAGACCTTCCTACACATCTGATTAATGACATGTACAATGTGGGCACCGGGCAGTTTGGTCACCTTGAGATAAAGCCATTTGTTCCCCTTTTCATAACTTTTATGGCCAATTAAGGAAGAGGAGGAAGCCTTTTGAGGATTTGGCCCAAGTTTACTTGCTGTTTGAAATTTGCCAGCTGACTAAGCTATAATCTATAGGCCATGAAATAAGTGAAGTTCTCAAGACTAGGGTTTGGGGGTTTACAAAGAGAGAAAAGGGCAAACAAAAAGCAGCAAATAGTGGTGGGGTTACAGATGCCTCACAGAATCACAGTGGCTCTGTAAAACATACGGATTAATACATCAGCTTCTGTTGTGTGTGATGCGGCTCAAATGCAATCAGTGTTGTCTTCACACCACACACGCACACACACACACACACATTCACACTGCTGTGCAGACTCCCACTGCTGTCTCACTAGTACTGAGGCTGGAACATCACACAAACTTGCTGATTACTGGTGAGACACCCTACCACCATGGTACAGAAACATGAACGTCCTCTCTTTAGGACCACTGCAGTGGCGAAACATTCAGTGAACCGGAGGCATTCCACAGCCAGCCGGGTGACACAGTGAATTCTCCATCTGTCCTGCTGCCTCCCTTCCCATCTGCCTCTCCCCCCATCCACAGTTGCTCCAGCCACAAGCCTCTCTACTCCATCTCTTTCTTCCACACCATCAACAAACTCTGCTTCTTCTACTTCCAAAATACACCAAGAAGCGGGCTATTCCCCTCCCGTGAGACCCCTCAGTCTGGTGGCCAGGTCCTGGCCTGCCCAGCTAGACAATGGCAAGCCCAGGAAGCCACTATACTTCCCCACAGCCCAATCTCACCAAGTGCTGAAGCCACCGCTTTAAAGGGTGGGTCCCTAACCACCCTAATGTCATATTTAGGATGTGCGGAGCGTACAAAGAGAGCCAGACCAACATTCATGGCCACAGCTGTGCCGGAGCTCCCCGGCTATCTCCTCCCAACAACTGTCCAGTTTGCCACCCCATCAACCTGTGTTTGACATTTATTTTACCAGTGCAGGTCTTTTGGGTTTACTTCATTATCTTTATGCAAAAAACAATGCTATTTTTGCATTTTTTTCTTTATATCAACTTGTAAAAATGGATATTTTTGCATTTTAAAGTCTGATTTAAATGGCATTATTATATGCTATATTTAACATCATCATTAAGCTTATGACACTCATTCATGTTCATGCTCACTTCTGTACAATATCCCACATTCTGAACAAACCATGTTATTTATCCAACTTCTTGTCGGTGTATATTTAAGATATTTACACCTTTTGTTATTACTTTTAAACAGCGCCTCTGTGGATACTTTACACATCGCATCAGTGTTACTCCATATTTTACTGTATGTCTCAAAGGACTGCTCTAGAACTCAACTGCCGTAAACAACAGTTTTATCTTCAGTTCGGAGTTAGAGAATGGGCCTGAGGTGGTCCCTTGATTTGCTCAGTTCTCACAGAACTTCGGGGCGCACCCATGGTTTAGGAATGAGCAGGCCACTGCCCCTCCCCAGGACTGGTCAGATGAGAGGGTCAGCCAGGACAGCCAGTCTCATAGACTCTGCTTAGCGAGGTGTTATGGATTAAGAACTGGTGGTCAACTTAATGCCAGCTGGATTACATCAGCATGGCATTGAGTAAAGATGCTCCACCTGAGGAAAGTTGCCAGGACAAATAGGTGGAGAAGAAGGGAGGCATTGAGGTGTGGTAGCATTGTGGGTTCTCCTACATGTTGCTGTTTGGAGCTGTTGGTTCTCCTGGAGAAGTTTTGGTCCTCACATGGAGCGTTGCTTCCTGGCTCTGGAGGGGAAGACATGTGCTGCTTGGTCTCCAGGATGAACTCGTCATGCTGCTTCCTGGCATGTACCCGACTGTGCTTGTCATCGGAGGAACTCGGGGCCTCCGTGTCACTGAGGATGGCTCTGGTGCCTTTCAGGATAGCCCTGGTCTTTGTTGTGATTGTGACTTCTCGGCTCCTGTGTAGAACCCTCATCCCACCAGCACAGCTCCTTCACCCCGCTAGCATGGACTTTCTGGCTTTCACCACTGACCTTTGGGTCTTCCCAGCACAGATCCGTAAAAGAGACTGGCATGAGTCGTTCTTGTGAGCTCTGGACCTCCAGTTGGACTCGTGAGAGGCATTGTCCTGAGCTCTAGGTTTTTGTCTGGACTCATGTGAGACATTGCTTATGGGATTTAGGCCTTGACTAAATATTCTATGTCTTTGGTGTTGCGGATAGATTTCTTGCGCTTTCCTGTGTTAATTCCCAGTGACCATTATAAAAATATTATAAACTCCATGTCTTGATCCTAATTGTCCTCTGTGTACAACCTTTGACTACAACACGAGGAGATCCAGAAATGTCACAGAGGCCTCCTGCAAGCCCTGGAATACCCCGGCCTTCCATCTCTGACATGAAGCTCAGGCCCTGGAGAGCCTAGCAGGCAGGTGTGAGGACCAGAGGGCACCCGGCCCCAGCACCAGTCCAGAGCGTGGGTCCTGGAGTCGAACCATGTGCAGCCTGCAACATTCTCATCCCTCAGAGCAGCAGAGTGACAAAGGCTGGGCAGGGCTCCCCCAGGATGGTCTGTACGCACAGATGAGGCTGATGCCCCCAGAGTAGACAGCATGCAGAGACAATGCTAACCTCACTCACACCTGAGGTGGCAGCAGACTGAACCTCAACTTACACAGAAGGTGGTCTCTGGGTTTTTTGAGGCAAGGTCTGGCTATGTAGATCAGGCTGGTCCTAAACTCACTATATAGACCAGGATGACCTTGCACTCAAAGCAAACTCCCTGCCTCAGCCTGCAGAGCACTGGGATTACAGGTGTGCATCACTGAGCCTGGCCTACACTGAGGTTTTAACAAGCCTGAGTTAAAAGCCTGAGAATTATCACATCAAAAATACTCTGTCACTTCCCACTCGGGAAAAGAAAAAAAAAAATCTCTGTCACACTTAAAGGGGGAAAGTCTTTTGCTTTATTGTATGAGTAACAATTTCAACAAAAGTATAAATTAGGTACGATGATATAAACTGGAAGGTGGGGTGTTGACATCCAATTATAATTCTATGGATGGCAGCCCAAGTATATGCAGTAGAAGAAAAATTTAGAATGGTATCTGTAGCCACATCCGGGCATGATTAGAAAACAAATCAATGACAGTGATTCTGTGTGCTCCTCAGTAATTTGCAAAGATTTCACCTAACAACTCCCCCAAACTGGCCTGAGAAACAGTCGCATTACATTTGCCACCAACACGAGCCAAGGCACTAGTGGCTGTGCTTTATATAATACCGTTTGAGGCAGTCTGTGTAGGAAGCCTGATCAAGATACATAATTGCACAGATCTGCAAGGCCTTGCATTTCTTATCACAAACCATGCTGCTGTCGTAACTCACAAAGAAATAATTGTAGTATTTTAGGAACTGCTTACTGCCGAGGGCTGCAAACTGCTTAACCAGCCCGTATAAATTCCGAGGCTGCAGATCTCCAACGCCATAGGTCTGCGTCAGGACATACTCCAGCTGCCAGTCAGATTCTCCCTTCAGATTTGCTTCCGTCAGGTTCAGATAGTACTGCAGCATATCCTGCAGGTAAAAACAGTCAGGACTCTGCTTCGTTATCTGGCACAGAAAGCATTGTACAATGTGGAGTGTGCTCATTAATATTTAAATGATATGCTTAATTTAAAACCATTATTAAAATTGGTTATAGAGAAAAAGTTTCAGTAACATCTCTCTCACTTCTTCTACTATCACAAGGACTAACACAACCATCATTTAAATTTGTTTTGGAAAATGCAATTAAATCAATAATTGCTTTAACTGAGGCAAAATGTTTCCAAATTATATCTGGCTGGGTTTTTTTGCCGGGGTGGGGGGGGCTTTTTGAGACAGGCTGTCACAATGCACTTTAGGCTGGCACTGAGATCACTTTGTAAGCTAGGCTGGTCTCAAACTTGCAATGATCCTCCTGCCTCAGCCTCCCAAGTGCTGGGATTACAGGTATGCACCACCACTCCCAGTTCAAATTGTATCTGCACAACAGAGGATTAAAGTTCTTGTAACCCACGTGGTCAGTCTCTTGATGCCACATTATTCTAAAGCACAGATCCCTGAATGAGCTCCAGAAAACTTTTGTCTCAAAGGCAAGGGTCCATTTTTTTCTTTAAATTTTTTTTCAAATATTTATTAAGCACTTAGTATGGGTCAAGCATTTTTCTAAATGCAATACATAGACTCACTGAAGGAATTCTCACAGTGACTCACCAAATTCAGGTCTATTTTGGTTCACATTTCAGGAAAGAATACACTGAGAAATAGCAACATTGGTTACTATAGCTCAAGACCATGCAGCCCCAGAGGAGAGTTAGTCTTTGAAGGAGACCAATTACAATGACTTAGTAAAGGTTTCAGTCCCTATGCAGTTCACCCACAAGATGCCGTGGAGTGAAGGCTTTGTCTAAGTCAATCTGAAGTCCTCAGAGGGTCAGCAAAGCCCCCAAGGCCAGTCTCACCAGCCCAACCGGGGAAAGTACTGACAGACACTCCCGCCAGAAAAGAAGGGCGTCACACGACTTCTGCAGAATGCAGTCCACACAGCTACGCTGAGAAGTTTCCACTAACCTCATAAAAACCACAAAGGCATGCATGCACAAGAAGCCAACCCAAACGGTGCCCACTTACCAATAACGTGTAATTGTGAGGCTCATACTGAAAGAGGCGGACCCCGGGGTTGTTGGTCTGCTTTTCAAACACATTCCTCACAGGTGTAACAGCGGGAGACACAAACAAGGAGCTCAACGGACGGCCTGGAAGACATACATGCAGAAGTGTACTCTTTCAAATTGAGTTTAATTATACTAAAAATATAAACAGCTTCCGGGTTGAAAGGTTAACAGACATAACCAGGTGACACATGACCATTGAAGGGTACTGACTCGAAGCCATTATGGAGACCATGCTGACAATACAGGAGAATTTCTAATATTAGTGCCGAGGAATTACTGTTGGTTTTATTAGGGAAGGAAATGTCATTGTGCTGTGTAAATCATTCACACACTTTCACAATGAGAACACAACTATGCAGAGCTGAGACAGACCTGACGTTTGAGATTCACTTTTATAACTGCTCCAGATGTATGTACGTATGACATAGAAACACGTCACACATCTATGACAGGCAATGTGGCAAAGTCATGGTATTAATACTGAATATGAATAATGAGAACATATGGGTTTATTGTACCATTACCTCTGCTTATATATATATATATTTATATGTATATATATATGTTTAGCTGTACCCATATATATGTGTGTGTATATATACATATATATATTTGAAATTTTTCATAATTAAAAACATTCCAAGTCTATCACAAGTACACACACACAAATAAAAACCTGGTTTGCTCTACATCTACAAGAACACCATCCCAGATAGCACATAATAAGAATTTGGTGACAGTATCACCATATGATATAAAGATCCATTGCAATGTATATTTTTCTATGATAAAGAAATTATCAAATGGTAAAAAGCTGTCATTTTTGTCAAATCATGAGTAAATATTTCAGAAAGTTTGTCCAATTACTGAAGAAAATACACATTTCTCTCTACGTACTATAAAGCCAGAATTGCTCTTTTGCAAACTGTTTCTTGCCAGAACTTCTAGTCGCTTTTCTGTGGCTGCCTAGCGGTGGCAATGGAGAATGGGCAGGGGTTAATGTTTCTAAAGGCCTGGGCAGGGCATGCTCTGTCAAACTAGGAGAGCTCCAGCACCTCGAACCCACAGCAGCAGGACTGTTGGAGTCTACAGAACAGCCGCAGCAAGCCCGGGTTCCAGTCTTTGGTGTGGACAAAAGGCAGGGCTGGCCAGTGCAGCCAGGGGCTCCTGCGGAAGGGGCAGGTTCCAGGCCACATCTCGGGATAAGGACATCGTCATTCAGCAGTGTAGGGCGATTCCGGAGAGGCGAGGCTGACAAGTCTGGAAAGCTTTTTGTCTCCTGCACCTATAAACCCCCTGGACAGTCAGGGCACTCCCCAGCCCCTGGACCCCATCCTACCATCTCCGTCGGCAAGAACCATGATGCTGTCCCTGTGTGTGTGACCGTAGAACTGTCCCTCAATGATGGCGCTGTACCTCCTGAAGAGCTCCACCAGCTTCTCGTTATAATACTGTCTCATCGCCGTGATGCCGCTGGAGTAAGGCAGGTACCCCACGGGCACGTGCGCGATGATGTACACCTGGGACAGGGCACGGGGCTCTGTGAGGACCCTGGCACACAGCTGCCATGGCTAAATGACTTGCTGACACCAGAGACTGAAACTGTGGGAACACGCTGTCGTTTTGTTCCGTTGTTCTTCCTGATTAGCAGCGTGCTCCCCATAGAATGTCTACACCCTCTTGAGAAGTGGGTACAGGGAACACAGCTCAGTGCTTTTTATTCCCCTTCCCCCTCGCCCCCATCTCTAGATCCCTCCCATTTGCACAGAAAGCTGTCTCCCTTTCCTGCTGTTCTTCTTCGTGCTGTGTTTTAAAATAGTACTTTGGCTTTCTCAGAGGAGAGAAGCCATCCAACATTCCAGCTTTGCATCAGGTTTATTTTACTTAACAGTGTGGTCTCACACTGCACCCACTGCAATTGCATTAACTAAAATTTAATAGGCAAATACACCACCTCCGCTATTTGTGATGAGAGGAGAGATGAAACTAAGAAACTGAAGTCACTAGAGTGGTACTAGTTTCATTTATACTACTCTTTCATTGATATAAGGTAACAGATCTTGGTCACAACTTTTTTAGATCTTCAAATTTTATTATTTTTCTTTGGGAGGGGCCTTTTTGAGACAGGGTCTCCCTATGCAGTTCAGGCTGGTTCTAAGCTCACTATGTAGCCCAGGCTGGTCTCAAACTTGCAACAACCCTCCTGCCTCCGCCTCCCAATTGCCTGGATTACAGGGATGCACCACCACACTTGGGAAGTTGGTTTTTCTTTTCTTAGTACTGATTCTACCCCATTGGCATTTGTCTAAGGGACCTACCTTCTCTTTATTTTGCTGAGAGCTGTTCAGGGTACTCTCCAGCCATTCAAACTGACTGGCCGGGTCAGTCTGGTTCAGGGTCACGATGTTGGGGCCGTAGTACAAGTTTGTGTTTAGACTGATGATCCTCAGGTTTGGGTTATGTGGGACTTTCTGGGAGTAAAATCCTCCTGTGAAGAGAATTTTAAAACACATTTAAAAACCTACACATACATGTATGCAGACATTGTTAAAGCAAATCCTTAAGGTTTAAAAACATTCACTAACACGTGCCGGCTCTGGAGGTGGGCCCTGAGAGATGACAGCTGTACCCATAGTCAGATGGAAAGCAAATAAAATACTCAGGCAGTAAGCGATGAGACTAAGACAGAAAACAAGGATGCACACAGCAAGCTGAACTTCTGTGACTGGAGAGTTGATAAGCAGAGCCTGGAGCACAGGCACACACACCGATCCCATCAGAGACACTGAGGAAAGGACATCAGAGCACCTGAGCTGTTGCAGCCCGCTCAGGAAAGAGTCTACAAACCCGACCCGGCTAACACCCCTGGCCTGAGGTGACGCACACCCAAGGGTCCACTGCCTTAGGAATCTTGCAGCCGGCCCCTGACACCTGGCCTTAGACATCGATTACAACAGGCCACTAACTTGTTTGACTTCTTTCTTCTTTGCCACCATCGCTGCCCCTGCTGAGCGCCTGCTGTGCTGTACGCAGGGCTACGTCCGCAAAGCTGGCCCTTCTGTCCCAGTGGTAGGTGACAAATGCCAGAGCAGGAGAAGACAGCAAGGTCGGGGCCTGTACTCTGCGCTCAAAACTGCCTTTGCTTTTAAGAGCTTAATGGAAAACCCTCCAAGTCTCCAGGGTTAACGGGAAAATGGCGGACTTCATGGGCAAGGCCTTGGGGAACTCCTAGGGCTGCTTTGCAGGCCCAGCTCCCCTCTCAGTGCTTCCTGTCGGTCGCTCTCTGCACTGAGTGGAGCCTCTCTAAAATTCACGGTGATGCCTCCGGAATCTAGACTGCACTTTGTGGTTCTTCCTTCCATGTACAGAAGTTCTCCATGTACATTTCTGCCCAGGCTGGGCAGGACCAGATAAGGTTCCCTAGATTAATCAGAACCATGGCCTACTTCTAAGACAGCAGATCTCAAATTCACATACACTCTCATCTGCTCAGTGTTAGCAAAACCCATGACATAACAGTGGCAAAAGCCAAAGGTGAGGGAAAAGAGTGAAAGAAGAGTTTTGAGTGGAGAGAATCTAGGCATTAACTTAAATGTCTCAAAGCTTCAAAAGCACCAAAGTCTTACTGACCAGCTGCCTTCCCCAGGTAAGCTGATACTAGCTAAGACTACACATCAATGGGCCCAGAGGCACAGGAGAAGGGGCTTTAGACAGCACCCAGAAAAGGCAGCAACTCTGTATGCTTTTCATGCATCGCCAGGTCAGTGTTAAAAGCTTAACTGTTCTTACTTACAAACTTGTGCAGGCTTGGTTCAAAGTTAATGTACATTCAATCTGTTTTCCAGCTAAAAACATACACTTTCATTCACATTTGAATCTGTTGTCAGTTTTAGCTTGGTGAGGAATGTCCTGATAGGGAGAGAAAAGGAAGGGAAAGGGCTCCCTAAAGACGACCAGGTTCATGACACAGACCGCAAGATGATGTCACTACTCACTGACCTCCAGGAAAACAGGTGCAGAGGCGCTTGACAAACACCAGGCCCAGAAAATGCTGAAGAGCTAAACTCACACAGTAAAGTAGGAAAGGAGGCTGAGGAGGTCTCTCGCATACCTTTCCTCAGAGTACTCAGGGCGTCTTCATCCAGCCATGCTTTCCAGAGGTTGGCCACTGCGTCATACACTTGACTGGTGGCTACAGGCAACTGATCCTGACCACAAACAAGAGAACCCACCATTGAAACTTTAAAGACTAGTGCATTGGTTAACTTAAATATTCCTTTATGCATTACACTTAGCATCTGTAGGCACAAGCATCACTGCTTAGTCTGCAAGGAATTTTTAACTCAGTAGGAGAAGTGGGGACAGAACATAATCAAATGTAACAGACACTGTTCCAGGGCTACCACAGAGGTTCTAGGGCATGGAAGCAGGAACAGTCAAGTCAGGGGGAGAGTGAAGAGAGCATTGAAACCAGACCTTTGGCAAGGATTTCATCAGGCTGATGAGAAAGGCCATCAAAGCAGAGGAAACGGCCCAGCACCAACACAGGCCGGAAGGTGTATGCCACCTGCAAAGAAAAGGCCCAGTGTCTGTAAGGACAGACGTGGGATCTCACACATGCCGAGGGCAAGCGAAACGGTGTGGCTGTGACTGAATGCAATCTGGAATGAAGGCTCTGCCCCTGCGTGTCTGTGAGCACTGCACAAGGAACTCAGCATTTCCGGGTCTTGGTTTTCCTATGTCCAAGTGGAGGGCTGGCCCAGACCGGGGCAGCAGGCTTGTCCCCAGAGAGAAGGCTGGTCTATCCGTCAGGCTCTCGGCCACATGGTCTTTGGGACAACCCTGCTAATACAGCACACATGCAGCCACGGGATGGAAACACGCTGTCTTCCAAGGAACCTTTCTTACAATCACAGGCCATAGGCCAGATTTGAATCAAAAGTCAGGCTGCCAAGCCGTGGACTAAAGAGCACCCTCTGGGATCTCTTGAATCTGCACAAATCTAAGATTCTACACTACGGAAGCAGGACCCCTGTCACTACTGGAGTCCAGCTTTATGTACCAGTGGCTTAACGAAGGGCCACACTGCCTGGCGGGAGCCGGGACCTTGTCAGGCATTAAATATTCTCAGCAGTTTCTGCCTGGAATAACGTCTTATCAGATCAACTGTGTGTGAACATTCACCTTCCTCTTTGATTCCTATTGTAATCTGTCAGTTTTTGTTGTTAATTGAATTTAACTTTCACAGAGTATGCAGTTCTTTGTGTGCCTCAGACACTCTGGAAAATGTAGACACGTCAGCACTGATAGTCCTTGCTGACACTTGTCACAGAAATGCACTGGGGATTTAGCTAAGTGGCATAAGTACCTGCTTGGCAAGTGCAAACTCCTGAGTTCGATCCCCAGTACCACACACACACACACACACACACACACACACACACACACAGAAATGCAGTCAGCAAGAAGATCCTGAAGAGAAAGGAGAACTCGGAGATTGCAAAGGGAAACAGGAATTAACTCTGGCAAAGGAATGATCTGCTTCCAAAAACTCACTGACGTGATTTTTTATTGATTACTTAAAGTACGTTTCTAAAGTCCCCAGGGCATTTGTCTTTCTGTCCTCAATGGTCATCTTTAAGAATATATTCTACCTTCACAAGACTGGATGGTGCCCCCCACTTAGCTGCTGTCATGTGACACCCCTAAGGAGAACAGTTCTCTCAGGATTCCAGAAGGTGACGTCTAGCCTACCTGTGGCCAGTAGTCATGATTGCCCAGCGTAGGGAACACCTGGAGATCGGGAAAGACACTCTGGATGGTTGTTGTCATGTTAGTGATCACCTTTATAACAGTGTCTGTGGAGAGTTCAGGAACAGGAACGTGAGGTGGGCTGTCGCTGGAAAGAAGACAGAACTGTTAGGAACAAAATCCATCTTTATAAAGCACCCTGGCCTTAGACCCTGCTTCACCTACCACTGCACACCTGCGCTGCTAAACAGCAAACACAGCTAGCGTAGATGAACAGCAGGGTACAGGGCTCATGCCGCCTGTCTGTCTCAGTTTCAGTCAGGAAACTGAGGCAGGAGAATCACTTGAGCCCAGCTTAGGCAATGCAGTGAGACCTCGTCTCAACAACAACAACAACAATACATACATCTATATAGATACATACATGTATACATATATATATAATTCAAAAAATACACTGGGAATCCCAGTCAATCTCATTGTCTGACTAAAGATTTCTGTGTAACAAACAGGTTCTGCATTAGTAAAGCTCAGGTCCCAGCTTAGCCAGCTGTTCCTTAGCTGTGTGTACTTGGACCATTTAGATGCTCAGGGCCTCCTATAAAATGAGAGCACTAACAACAGTAATACTTGTTGCAGGGCATAAACTGACTAAAAGAACACACAGCACGAAGCGAACCCTCTACAAGAATGGACCATGGTACTGAAAATATAAGCTTCTCCCTGCTCTTAGGATGGGTGGAACTGGCTAATGAGTGCACAAGAAAGTGACAGTGTACATCACAGGCCAACCCCATTGTCACCTTTTGTCCCTGATCCTTTAATCAAGATCAACTATCACATTAATCAATACATCAAGACATTGATGCAAGGGTGCTGTTAATGGAATCATGCCGCAATTAACACGACAAGTTTCTAAAGTCTGCATTACAAAAAAATAAAGCCAGGACCTTGAAAGCTGACCTAATAGTTTTTAACCAAGTAATTCTTAAAACACAAACCACTCTTCTCACAGAGGTCAGCCTCAGGCGTGGTGGGTAAGTGCTAAAAAAAAATCACACTATCTGCAGAATGACGTACCCCGTCCATATCATGAAAGACGCTTCTTGCCCCGAATTCTTAATAAAGTCGAATGCTGACAGAATGAGTCGATAAGGAGCATCGCATAGGACGTCCCCGAAAGGGCCCGGGTTGGAGGCATTGGCACCTTTGGACGAGGAGCACACCTTGGTGTGGTCATCGGTGACATGGTAGGTAGGGTCTAAATGCAAGTCGGTCACGTGCCAAAACTGTCCTGTGGGAGAATAGCAGGTAAAAACATGTGACACCTAGACACAGCAGAGGACGCTGGGCCACAAAGAAGCGCGCGCTTAAGTCCTGTAGGACACGGGCGCCCCCTGAGGCCGTAACATCAAGCGAAATAAATCAGACAAACAAGCTTGGATACCCCAGGGTGTCTTGTATGAGAAACCTAACGTACAAATAAAAAAGAGCAAAATAAAAGATGGGTAATGGGAATTTCCATTTCCTTTGCAAATGGAAAAAACGTACCAAAAGATGCAGAGGAGGAAGGAGGAAAGAGGTGGAGATGAGGAAAGAGGGAGGACGAGTGTGGTGTGCACGCAACTCCCACTGCGAATGCAAGCACTGCGGGCTACAAACACACACTGCCGAGAAGTTTGAAAATGACAAAGCTGTCCTGATTGTAAAAAAAGTCAATCATCTACTTCTGTTTTGGAATTCCCCTATAGATATTTATAGTAGGACCAGAACCAATCTTCTTCCCTGCAGTGGAGGAAATCCTGAGTAATTTACATGTGTCTGTACCCTGGAGCTAAACTCAACCCTCCCTTGTGAAAGATGAAAATTCAAGGAACAGCAGAAAGAATAGAGGAGTGAGTTACAGTGAGTTCAGTATCACCATAACCACTGACCACAGATGACAAAACAGAGGCCAGTTTGCATACTGAAACACACCACAGCCTTCTGAAAGGTCATAATGCCATATTATGTCATAATAGTGTATCTCCATGCAGAATTGAAAAGTTGGGAAACTACGGACATTCCTCTTACAGGGAAAAATGGTATGAAAATACAGCGTTGTTTGTCAAAATCACACAGACTGCAAAACCAGCAAATGAGAATCTCATTTAATTTTTTATAGAACCTCACCTCTCAGAAAGAACATAAATCTTTAAAAGCTAGAGTCCAAAAATAAGAATTCCCCAAGGTTCTCAAAAGCTATTTATTAGATATGTACCTTCCAACATACACTCAAACAAAGCATTAATCACATTACAGGAAGCAGTTGTTAAAGATGCTTCCAATGGCTTTCAAGGAGAAGCCAAACCCATTTAATAGCATCCTTGCTTATTAATCATCTTAAGAAAGGTTTCTTCATTGAGGTAAATACTAAAACAAACAGTTGTGGTCACACCTGTCTTTATTAAGTATGTATTAGATGCTGGGCACTGTGATGAGCAGTGTAAATACAGTCCCTCATTTCATCCTAGAAGTACTCCGTCAAATTGGAGGCATGGTTCTGACTGTAAGTTGACAGATTAAAGCTGGACCAAGTTGGAAATCTGCTCAAGTGTGCAGAATGAGCCTCCCCTGGGGAAGGGCCTGAGTTTGCTTATCTATAATCTACATAACAGTTCAGTGATCCTGATGCCTCTTCAGAAATAATTTCTAAACATGTTTTAACATTGAGAAATCTTCATTCTTTCTTATAAGTTTACATGATTGGGGCACAGATTTAGTCACTATTATTTATCCACCCCTTTTCAGAAGTATGAGAGGCTCCAGGACCACGGAACTAATTTCCAGAGTGCAAAAGAGAACACATTTCCTTTATTTTCAATTAATCACTACGCTTATTTCAGCAGCGTATTCTGTACTTTTTTAGGTGACTTTCAAGACAAACTGTTAAAACACACACGGGTTTAATTCACTATGAAACTTTAGCAGCATGTACTACACCAGAAGGAACAAGCACAGTACGGATGTCTCTCCATGCAAAGATGATAAAACTTAGTGAGTCCTACAGCCAGAAAAGTAAAGTGAAAAGAATCTATTCGTTAAGATGGAAAAATGAGTTATCTTTTTGGCTGTTCTTTGCAATGCTGTTATGATTTTAAAACACAAATTCACATCCAGGAAGTGGTTGCCAAAAGGTGGAGATGGGCGGAGATTTTAAAAAGTCGTTAAGAGTCAGTTAGTCACCACTGAATTCATTGCAAAGAGCAACTTACTACATTCCACGGTTCAGAAAATATCCTTTTACTTCCAGCTTAGTATCCAGGACACAGAGATGATGAACAGCTCAGAATCGCCCCAGAAGCCACCCTTCCTGGGTTGTAAGCATACTGTACAGGGCACATCACTCTCCAGTACACATGTGATTGTACTTCTGGAGGAAGCAGCACCTAAAACATCTATGGTGAGTGGAAGTGGAGACCAGCTGGCTCCCCGTGGGCACTCCACCACCTTCTAAGCTAGCTGTGAGGTGCTGGACTCCCTCCTCTACAACACAGGGACAACAGTATTGCCTAGTCCAGGGATAAATGATGGCCGTAAAAGTAAAGAAAGCCCCAGAAGGGTAAGGTAAGCAGCTCCACTTTAGTGTCAGTGTTACTGCCTTGTGCTATGGCTTATCACTAGACGTCCCTCCAAAGCCTCATATGCTGGTAGACAGTGCTTTGGGGAGGTGACCGGGTTGTGGCGGAGGACACTGCACCACCAAACAAGAGCACAGCATGGAAGTCCAGCGATGGGTTTACAGCTAGCTAACTGTGCTGTTGGGAGGTGAAGCTTGGAGGGAGGAAGTGGTCACTGAGGGTGTGGCCTGGAAAGGCCGCCCCCTCCTCCTCCCTTGGTTTCTCTTGCTTCCTGCTGCTACACTATTAGAGACAGCTAAGTTAGGTAGAGGGGCCGGGAATTTAGCTGGATGGCATAAGCCGGTACCAAAAAAAAAAAAAAAGGTATAGGCAGTCAGATAGGGCTGAACACTCCAGGGAGTTAGTGCAGAAGATGAGACTACATTCGAACTGTGGCTGAAGGGGGATCAAATATGGAATGACATACCACCCTCAGGGATAAGCAATATACTATAATTGGTATCACCTGGTCCAATAAAGTCTAGGCAGGCATTAGGCACCCAAGTGGGTGACCAGGACTTCCTGACTCTTCTCTTCCAAAAAAAGGTCCTTGTCCTCTCCATGTATGCCTGCTACATGAGTTGCTTCCTCTAGCAGCTAGAGGGACATTACCTAAGCAACTATACACTACTTGTAATCTTATTGGTCTATTGGTTTTGCCCCACGTTATAACCACCGCATGATTTTGGACCCACCTCATGAGTTTGCTCTATAAAACTTCCTTTGAGAAGTGGGCTTGTCAGCAACTCAATCGGGATCCCTCCTCTCTCTCTCAGGAGCTATTTCTACTCCCCAATAAATATCTCCTATTCTTAACCTCCATCATTCTTCAATTTTGGAGAACATGAATTTGCTGTGTATGGCATCTAGCAGTTGGGAGTTAGAATATTTCTCCTATAGCATTTGGAGGTTCTATAACACCACCATGAGCTGCTTCTCCTCTGCCATGCTGCCCTACCTTGGAGCCAGATGGCCACTCTACAAACTGTGAGCCAAAATAGACCCCTCCACCTGAGGGTGTACCGTGCTGTGTCTTATAACGAGAAAGTAACGAAGACATCCTGTAACTCAAACCTTGAATTTGCAATGGAACGTCCCCATTTCCCAATGACAGTTCACACATTTTCAGCACACGGAGATAAGTCCAAGTCCCGGACATCAGACCCAGCAGAGCTGGACCTGAGGTCAGGCATCTCACCCCACGGGCCAGGCTACCCTAAGCCAGGCACGCACAGCTGGCCTGAGTGCCTCTCAGCTGAATATCCTGCCTCACCCATACCCCAAAGAAACAAGGTGATCACGTCACCAGGAGGACGCTGTGAACACGAAGGATGTGTGATGATGAACCAGTTAGATTTGTGTAACTCGGGACCTGAGTTGAATCCAGATCATTCCCTCTGCTGACCTCTATCTACATCCAGCATCTGGAACATGTCTGTCTACCAGCACCAGCCTTCTACAAACACTAATCTACACCTGGTGTCGTTCAGGCCTTGCTGGATTCCAGGGTCTCCTCCAGGTTGGGGCCGAGTCACTAAAGAAAGGTGGCCGGAACCAGTCCCTCTCGATGTGTGCTGGACCAAGAAGGGCGATGACTTACACCCAGGATGTCCTAAAATAGAAGCCAACAGCAGAGCTCTGGCAGGCTGGAACCTGAGCTCCCCAGACAACGCATCTGTGTGGGGCCCAGTGTCACTCGTAAGACACGGTATATAAAATGCTGTGTACACACGTGTGTGTGTGTGTGTGTGTGTGTAATGTGCGTGCATGCGTACCTACATGTGGGTGTTTCCAAGGCCACAGACCTCGATGGTAGCACAGCCCACAGCACACACACACCCAGGTTCCCTGGATCAAAGTTCTTTACACCACAAAGTATTTTAGCATTCTACAGAAAACCCCAAAGAGGATTCTCAGAAATGGGGGAGGGGGCGCTGCGTGTGTGAGCACAGCATATCTAGATAAATGCTCAAAATGATACAAGACCATGAAGTCGAAGGAAGCACTGCACCTGACCCTAAAGAACCTGCTTACCCACAGCTCAGAAGTCGGGGCCCTGCAAGCTACTCTAGGCAGGTGCCGCTCCGCTCACACCATCAGTGTCCATACACTGAATAAACCAGCAAAACGCAGTTCGCTCAGGTGAGGCCGCCCAGGCGCTGACCTCTGCCACCTGCACTTCACCCAAGCACAACACAAGTGGCCCGAGGCCAGGCCTGGAGGAAGCTGTTAATGAAGTCCTGACAGCTAAGTTAGGTGAAAAGATGACAGGCAGTCAGACAGGACCGGACCTGGAGGGATCGGGCCTGGAGGGGTCTGGCAAAACGAATCACAACTGCTGCAGCTGAAGGGCATTCATCCAGGCCTTGCAGTAACTGAGATAAAAGACAATGACCAGGACTGCCTGCCTTCTCACTGAGGGACAGACAATATGCTATAATTGGTGTCACCTGGTCCAATAAGACCTAGACAGACATCAGTCAGCCAGGTGGGAGACCAGGACCTCCTGACTCAACTCTTCCATAAAAGGCCCTTGTTCTTCACACTGGATTGACACTCCCTAAGCAGCTATGCTTGTAATCTTACTGATCCTAGTTCTGAGCCAGATGGTACCCACCTCGTCATTCTGCCCTACAAAACTTCCTCCGCAAAGCTGTGTTCAAGGCGAGCCACTGGGCCCCTCCTACCTCCCGGGAGCCGGATCTCTCGGTAACTGTTTCCTACTTGGTCTCTGGTCTTTCAAATTTGTTCTTTGACTCTGGGGAACACGCACGCTCGGCCTGTGTGAGGTATAACGGGTGGGGGGTTGAAATCCTTCCCTGTGTCATCTGGCGGTCCTGTGCCACCCAGAGGCCCGAGGTGGGAACAGGAAGTCATGCAAAACAAAACAGGTAGCCTGAAACCAAGAGTCAGAACCGGCTTTGAACTTTGGTCACGTCTTCCTTCCTCTGCAGGCGGAAAGGATTTATTTGGCAGGCTCCCCGCACCCCTCCCCGACACTGGAGTTGGTGCGGACTCCCACGTCCTCAAGGGCAATTAGGACACTGAAACCCAAGGCACGGTGCCACTGGCCTGGTTAGGGCAACCTGAGCCTCAGAACCTGCCCCAGTCACGTGACCCAAGGGCACAGCGGTCAGGGAAGCACAAGCTAGCAGCACGGTGCACCGTACCGCTGACCTCCACAGATGGGAAACCAGGTGCATAGCTCTGGCTTTCAGCTACCCAGCAGCTGTGTCCCGCGTGCTAGGGTCCTCAGGGGACCTTCATTCCCTGAGGTCCTGCGATCCAGGACGGACACAGCGAGCGAGAGGGTGAGAAGTCTGCAGGAAAACGGACGCAACTTGCAAAGGATTCGGACACAGGAGCTCTGTGTACTCTGAGCACCGCTCCTGTTGCAGGAGAACCCCAGGGCAGAAACAGAGTCCAGAACGAGATAACAGGAAACGGGGCGACAGAGCTCCTGCAGATGGGAAGGGGCCCACGGCACCAGGGAGAGGGAAACGCCGCGAACGCGGACGCGCACTCGTGACAGCGCCAGGGTCACGGACGTCGCGCGCGTTCCCACTGCAAGGGGTGCAAAAAGTACGCGCAAGAAAAAGCAGCGGGCTCCCTGCCCAGCGCGGCTGTGAGCTCCGCCAGCCCCCGCTCCGGTGCCGGTGCCGGCGACGGCGCCGTTCAGTTCCGGTTCCGGTTCTGTCCGCGGGACCGAAAGGGGACCCTATGCGCCAGGGCGAAGGGGCCGCGGCGTCCTGTCGGCCCCGCCGTCCGCGCAGCACCGCACTGCGAGGGACCCCAGCGCCGCCGGCTCGCTCTGCGCGTACCGGGGCAACAGGGACCCGGCCGGACCGCGCTGGAAACCAGGGTCCCGGAGCCCCAGGGCGCCGCCCTCCCCCCGCCGGCTCCCCGCCCCGCTCCCCCGGCCAGCTCCCCGCTCACCCGCCGGCGCCCCGCGCAGCGCCGAGCCGAGCCCCAACAGCAGACAGCCGAGCAGCGCGCGCGCTCGCGCCATGGAGCCGTCGCCGAGGCCGCGGGGTGGACGCGCCGGTCACGTGCGCGCGGGGAGCCCGATCCGCCCTTTATAAACAGCTGCGGCGGGGCCAGGCCGGCTCAGGCGGGAGCGGCGTGGGCTGTGGGCTGTGGGCAGGGCAGGGCAGGGCTGGGCTGAGCTGTTCGCGTCCGCAGACACCCCCATCCATCCGCCCCCGAGCTCGCTGAGAAGTGTGGGCCCCTGGGCCGCGCCCCAAGATCCCTGGGGGGCCGTCGAGGCGGGTGGCGCCTGAGGATGTGGACGTGGACGGGGACCGGGCCGGGTGGGGTGGAGTAGAGTGGGGCTCTACCCGCATGGTGAGCTAGACTCAGGTTCCCGAGCCGGCGCGCATCCCGCGTCCTTCCTGCTGTGCAGGGGATGCTGAGCTCCTGAGGTGCACCGTCTGCTTCCGTTTGGAAGCTTGGGGTGCCTTTGAAGACCAAACACCTTCCAGGCTGACGCATTGCCTGCAGACAAGGCTGCCAACCCAGGAGGCCCTCGGTTCCTGTCCGCAGCAGAGGGAGCTTCCCAAGCAGTTTGCAGACGGCCAGGGCTCCTTCCCTCGCCTCCCTGGAGCCAGCAGTGCAAACCCGAAGACCTCCGGAGAAAGTGCGTTCAAGGGTGGATGCGGTCCTGCAGCCCCCATGCCCTAGGTAGAGTAGTGTGAGTGTACAGAGTGGAACGCAGCGGGTCACCAACTGGCTGCCTTTTGTGCTTTCTACGGAGGCATCTGACCTGACTTTCACTTAATGAGTGAGAGCAGCAACGACGTCCCAAAGTCCACCACCACCCTGGAGACTTAAGGGATTCCCTGGGTTGGTGTCACTGACAGCCCGCTCCAACGTGTTGATTTCCGGCTTTCTTTCCCTCTGGCTACACAGCTATAAGTTGAATCTGTATTCCTGGGTCATGATCACTCGTGTTCAGCACAGAGCAAACTACTTTCTTCTTTCCTGTAGAGCAGTTGGTATCTTAGGTCAGCGCCATAAGAAGTGATGTGCATATTCTGAACCTAAAAGACAGGCTATTAAAATGAATGAGAAGGGCTGGAGATTTAGCTCAGCAGCACACACACCTGCTGGGCAAGCACGAGGTCTTGAGTTCGATCCCTGGTACCAAAACACAAAATAAAAATAAATACAATGCAGGTAGAAGCACCAGCCTCTCTCCACTGCTGTTTCTTTAGTTCTCCTTTATCCTGGCTTAGAACTTCAGTATCCCCAGCATCTCAGGTACAGCTCCATCCTGTGTTTGGGGGTCTCTGTCCCGATGAGTGTGTCTGGGGCAGGGAAAACAAGGGGAAGGCAGCAGCCGCCCGTGGATGTACTCAGTAGCTGGTGACTGCATTTTGCAAAACAGCTTTTAGCCCAGTTTGTTTCTTCCGGGCCTCAGAATTTGCAGAAACGCCCCTGCCTGAAGTGTTGTTCCTACCCCTCTCTGCCTTGGCTACCTTTCCTTCCCACTCAGAGACTGTGTTGTGGGAGGTGACACAGAAATGAGAGACATAAGGAAGACCCCTGTGAGACACAGAATATGAGAGAAATAATTGGCAGCTTGCCCTGTAAAAACGTAGGAAGCAGAAACATCTGAGTCATCTCTGGAAGCGTGCATGCAGACGTGGCCCCACCCTTAATCTTCAGGTGCTCAGTGACATTGCTTCTGTTTAACTCATCCCAATACCTGTTTTGTTGGGTCTCTGTGGGCAGTTATTACCACCAGGGAGTGACTGGCCTCGTTCTAGAGCTGGGAACCAATCCCGAGTTGGTACCCCTTTAGTGGTAGGCCAGGCTCCCTGGTCCTAGAGCTGGGCTAAGGGTGGCAGGTAGAGGGTGGTTTGCACTTCTAAAGGCAGGCCAGTGGGGACCACTGGCCTCAGCTTGTTACAGGCAGCTGAGTTAGTTAGAAATACAGGCAAGCAGACGGGGCAGGTTTCTTGAAAGAGCTAGTACAGAAGCCCACATACCTTACAACCTTGGAAGAGACTGATGCCTCCCACTGTGGGCCAGCCTTCAAGACAAAAGTAAAACAAGTGTACTCACAAACTTTCTAAGGATGAGTATCAGAGATTGATATTCTAATAGGTCTCTATTACCTCCAAAGAAGCCAGGAGCTGCTAGCCCAACCCCTACAGGCAAAGGCCCTGTTCTGTATTCATGCCCGCTTACAACATGACTCACTTTCCTATTTGTCCCTGATTTAATCAATCTTACCCGAGCAATTATATTCGTGATCTTATTGGTTGACCATAGTTCTGCCCCACCTCCTATCTACCTTGCTAGTTCCCATGTTCTCTCCACCTTAGACCTGCCTCACCTTGGGGTTTTGCTCTATAAAAGTCTCTAGAAAAGGCAGGGTCCTTGGCAACCCACTTGGGATCCTACTATGTCTCTCCAAAGCTTTCTTTCTCTTAACAAATGTATTCTGCTCTTAACCTCTGTTGTTCCTAACATTCGTTCTTCAACTTCAGAGAATACAAACTCATACCGGACACATAGAAGGTTGGGAGTTTCACCCCCCAGGTGCTCATTAGCTTGTTCCACAATATGGTACAGGGGAGTACGTATTCAGCACCCCTAATCCATGTCCAGAATGCAGAATGCACTCTGAGCACCGATGTGACACTGCAGGGGAAATGCCACCCCTGACCTCCTGTGACAGAGCCCAGCCAAAGACAGGCCTTTAAAAACACTGTCAAATTGCCTTCAGGTGGCACAGAACAAGTGTCAGTGTGTGACAAGGTGTGCTGGCACTTGCTGTAACCTCAGCACCCTGGGAGCCTGGAGCAGAAAAATCCCAAGTTCCAGGCCAACCTGGAAAACTTGGTGACTCACTGAGACTCTGTTTCAAAATAAAAAATACAAAAGAACTGGGGACATAGCTGAGTGCTAAGGTCCTGGGTTCAATCCCCAGTACAGGTCCTAAAGAATGTATATGAAATATAAGTGAGGTTCATAGTCAGACTTAGGTCCCAGCCCTAGACTACTTCTTTGTTTATGTGTGAATGTTCTGAAACCCAAAAATCTGGAAACTCCAAAGCATTTCTGCTTCAGGCATTTTGGATTAAGGATATTTACCTTGTCCTGCAATGATCAGGTAAGAGCATCATTGTAGTGAGCTATGCAAGTTAAGGGGACTTCCCCTCTACTTTATATCTGTAAGTTACTTGGATCTTGAATTAACTTACAAACGTTGACTGAAATCACTGGGTTAACTGAAAATGAATATTGCAATATTTGCCAGGAAAAATGTTACCATGCCCCTCCCTCCAGAGGCTAACAAAGAATTTTCTCCTAGCCAGGTGTGGTGGCTCACGCCTATAATCCCAGCAGTCCGGAGGCTGAGGCAGGAGGATCGTTGTGAGTTTGAGATAAGCCGAGGCTACAAAGTGAGCTCAAGTCCTGCCCGAACTGCATAGTGAGACCCTGGCTCAAAAAGACCAAAAAAAAAGAAAAAAGAAAGAAAGAAAGAAAAGAAAAGAATTGTTTCCTAACCAATAACCAGGAAAAAGAAAACCTGTTCCTTCATTTCAGAAGCAGAGTTGCATTTCTCAGTATTGTTCACTGGTCATGAGGACTTGGGTGTGCAAATCTAACCTTCAATTTCTTCATCAGTAAAATAAAAATGGTAACACCTGTCTTACTTGCTTTACATTTCAGGACTGAAAAAATGTGCATAACGCTTTTTTAAACAGCAAAACACAAAAAAGTACTTGTACTTTACAGAGTAGAACCCAGAGCCCATGACACACATTCTCTTTGGTTTGGGAAACTCAGTCCCACGCACTGGCTTCTTCCTCTGTGCCTACTCTTGACACCCAGTGTTAGCACTTTGGTTCATCCTGCCAGTGGTGTTACCTGGAGACTCATTTTAATAAACCAGGGTACAGCCCATTTCCTGTTTACTTTAGTAAGAATTGTCATTAAATGAGTATCAATTGTATGCCATTTCCATTATACTTACCTTTCAACAAGAAATTTTGAAGCGCATCGTATTTCTTCAGAGTGTCTGTGTCTAGCAGCAAACAGTCATTTCTGTAGCCCAACCCAGCATGACAAGACTGCCTTGGATTCTGGGCAGATTTGATCATCACAAATCCTTCATGGACATCTCAAAAATGCACCATGTCCCATTCCCTGAGGCTAACTGTTTAACAATGGATTCTACATGACGTGCCAACTTTTTTAGTCTGACTCTGGCTGTTCTCTGAAAGACTATTTTATGTAAAACTGTCTCCTGTGCAATCCCAAGACAAATAAATGACATGAAAAATAACATGAGTATATAAGATTTTTATTCCAATTTGATTTGTATTCCAAAGGAAATCATAAATGCGTTCTTTTTTATTAAAAAATTGTGATAAAATTTTTAAAAACATGATAAACTTGCATATCGAAATTGAGCTAGCTGTTTGGAGTTACACGGTTTTCAGTCCCCATTCTCTGCCTCCTCCTGGGGATGACCTTCACCACTGTTGATGCAGGTGACGGAGAGGATAATCCCAGGGCGTCTCCAGCCCGACCCAGGAATTTCCTTACACTTTCTCATACTGGCGAACACAGACAACGTCACCAAAAGTCAGAGTCTGAAAGAGTCCAAAGATAATCAAGCCATTTTATGTGGGAATGTTTGTGGCTGAATTTTGCAAAATTCTCACAGATGTAAGTATATGGTTTATACCTGTATGCAAAAGAATAGTGACATTTGTGTGCGCTAAAGGCCGCACCAGCTCTCCACTTCTGAGGGTGAATTAAGGAAACACCCTGCCGGAGGAGTGAATGGCATGAGTAACTCTGGGCTCAGGAGCTGAATTCTGTGATTTTCCACCAGCTGGGCCACTGGGCGAAGCTGGTGTGAGGAGCGAGAACTCCACTCACATTTTTCTCAGCTCTCTGCTGCGAAAGTGAGGGTGATTTGTAATAAATAGGTGCTCACGACCATTTCCCATAGGTAATCTAGAGGGATTTCTTTAGGAAACCTAGTCATTTGAGTTAATGATGTTTGAAAGGACTTGTTCAAACACCACAGGCAAACGTGATCATGCGAAGGCTCTCATCATTTCCACTGCCATGCTTTAGCCTGTGAGCCTGGAGGCTGAGTGTGGGGCACAGGGAGTCTGGCCATGCTACTGTGTGCTCAAGGACAAGGGCAGAAGGGCCATGGAATCTCCTAACCAAATTCAGGGTCAGGAAGTGCAGGTTCCTGGGGGGGGTGTGGTGTTCACGGAAGTAGGGTACCTTTGCCATCCAGGGCTTTCCTCTCATCATACATGCAGAGCTGAGCTCTCTACTCCTCTGAACTCCAGACTGAATCTTTTAAAAAGACATCCTTTCTTTTGCTGATGATTGAAGAGAAATAAAGGCAAGCATTCTTTTAGACAAAAGGAAAACTATCACCCTACTTTGCACCCTTACTTCCACATGTGAAAAGAAGTAAGGGAACTTCTGTCTGGGAATATTCAAAGAGAGAACAGCCAGTTACCTTAGACAACAAAAAACCCTTCCTTAGCACTAGGATTTAAAGCAGCACCCCCAGAAAAGAACAAATCAATTTGGCTATGTCGGTATCATCGAAGTACCATTAGTTTACAGAAAAAGTTAGATCGTAGTCTTTTACCAGTTTGTGATGCTGCTGCATCATTTAAGAAGTTATTTGTGAATTATTTTCCTTTTTTATAATGTCCACATGCCTACCTAGTTTTAAACGTATATGTTGTAAAAGCACACAGTTAATCTGGAAAAGAACTAGAAGGAAATTGAAGAGATCTTTTTTATATTTTTTGCTATTCTTTTTGGTTACTTTCATAACCTTAATAAATTAACACAGAAAATGTTTAAAGATTTCTTGTTTGTTATAGGGACCATTAAGTAACTTTTCTAAGATTCAGTATGAAAGAGTTTTGGCCCAGACAGGACACTGTAGCCAGTAAAGCCTCAGGCAGAACCAAGGAGCTCCATCTTCCCCACCCCTAGGAATTTACCTATGGTGCCAAAAGAATACCAGTGGGCCACCTGTGCATCACTAATGCCCCTTAGGTTCCACCCCAAACCTAAGCTACATGTATGACTCAACTCCACACGGAGAGATCACTGGCGGGGGGGATGCCACGCCCCAGGGGATGGGGGGTGTCTCTCCCCGCATTCTCAAAATAAAGGTCAGTTATATTTCATACTTCTTATCTTTTCAGCCGCTGCCAGTCCCCCACAGTTCTATCACAGTAAGCTTGCTGTTATTATATGAATCTTTTTATATGTTTGTAATTACTGGTTTTACATTTAAATTTTACTTGAAAGTTACAGCAATGCCACAAAAATTGTTTTGACACAGTTTTGGGTGAACCAATAGTACACTGAAAAGAAACTATACTAGACTTTTTTCTGTGATCAAAGACTCTCAGGTAAGAAACCAATAGGCTAGGTTCATTTGATTTATTGCATTATTATTATTATTACTTGGTTTATTGAGACAGAGTCTCACCGTATAGTTCAAGCTACCCCTGAACTCACTTTAGCCCAGTCTGGCCTGGACTTGGTGGCAATCCTCCTGCCTCAGCCTCCAAAGTACTGAGATTACAGGTATGTGCCACCATGTCCAGCTATGTATGTATTGTTAGAGAACCTTGCTAGTAACATAAAATTATTCTGAAAGAAAAATAAAAGAGGGAAGGAAAGAAGGAAAAGAAAAAGAAAGAGGAGAGAAGCGGGAGGAGGACAGAGTGGAAACAGAAGGTGAACCGCCACTTGCCACTTACCATAACCATTTTGTCATCTTTAATTTCTCTCACAAACTTTGTCTCCTTGCCGTCCCATTTCTGTATGTGCACAAGTTTGCCTCCGTCCAGGCTAACAACAGACTGAAACCAACACAGGATGTTACAAGTTGGATTTCTGATGTGGAAGGCAAACCACTTGAGCTGTGCAGGAATTGTGCACTAGAATCAACTGTATCCTGTTAGTTCTCCCATCTTCTGTGACTCCTGGATTACCATGTAAACTCCACCCCTAACTTGGTTGGAATAGGTCCGTCCAGATGCAAAGGCCTCACCCAGAAAGACAAGACTTTGACTAGTGCTGTCGGATTAGCCACCGTTCTTGGTTTAAGCAAAGTCTTAGAAGGAGGCAGACTTGTTAGTCAGGGGAGGGTGGGGGAGGGTGAAAGGGTGCGATCTTTCTATCACATGGACTCAGGTACCTCCTGCAATGCAAGCTGGGTGTGAAAAGCGAGACATGACAAGAAACAAATGGGTTTGAATTCAAGTTCTAGCCATGATCGCTGTTCAGACCATAACACAGGCGCCAGAGTTTCTCTACCACCCAACTTCGAGAAAAAGAGGCCCGGGCCACCTCCCCCCCCCCCTCCCTTATTCCCGCAGAGGTCACTTTTCTCACCTTACACTTTCGGTCGTCCACACTGATTTCATCAAACTCCTCCCCCAGAAAGAAGCTGATCTCCGTGTTCTTGAACGTGCACTGGGTCCTGATCACCACCCGGCCAGCCTCCTGACTAATAATCACTGTGGGCTTGGTCACGTTCCCCACCTGCCTCGTGGCAAAGCCCACGCCTGAAACAGCAGAAGAGGAATAGGTACCGTCAACAGCCCCTTCCAAGGGCGCTCACTGCACACACACTCGCTGCCCGGTCCAGAGACCGGGCCCCGAGTCCAAGCCCTGCAGGACAGGGTTACTGGTTAACTGTCGGTCCGGGAACACTGCCACTCCTGAGCACGCCTGTGAGAGCGCCGAGGAGAAGCTGCTAAAGTCACAGCGGCTTCAGGAGCTGTGCAGGACAGCAGGTGCCCAGTCCCCGGGCCCTGGGCAGGAAGCAGGCAGCTGCTGCAGGAAGATCCATCTGGCTTCCACTGGGCAGTGCGATCACCTGCTGACCTGACAGGTGTACAGAGACCTGCAAGGTCGGAAACTGGGGGACACAAAGCACCGGGCCTGGCTTACACCTGCGCACCTAGAGCCTTCATGTACTCGTCAAAGTTCTGACTGTCCGTCAGCTTCCAAGTAGCACAGAAAGCCTCCACCATCCTTGCCTTTCTCCCTTCTAGCTTGGAAAACGGATGATACCAGGGAGCCCAGGTCTCTGCTTCTGACACGCCACAGCACCCTGTGCACCCCACAGCCTCTGGGCCTCTTATTTGGAAAAGAAGCTGGCCCAGAGCCAGGGATTGCACTACAGCCCCCTCCTCCCCCAAGAGTCCCTCTCTCCAGTAGGCTGTCACAGTGCGGAGGGGTGCGAGCAGAGTGCCTGTCGCTCTGTGATTGGCTCAGGCCACTGGGTTAGCAGAGCAGATCAGTTCCACCCTGTCAGCACTGCAGCCCTGCTGCCTGAGAAGGTTCTGAGGGCTCAGAGGGGCTGGAGGCGGGCACAGCAAAATGAGAGAGGGTCTTTCAGCTCCTGTGAAAAAACTTGGCAGAGGTCACCCCAAAACGTGGAGACAAAGGAGAGGCACAATAGCACATTGAGGCTGACTTCCGTTCATGGCAGAGCTGGTTACAGATGAGGACCCCCTTAAAGAAAACCCCTGACACGACAGCCTGGCACACAAGGAATTCTGAACAGTGGTTCATTCTCTTCCACTCACAGGACATGCGCAGGCAGGCGAGACCAGGCCAGGCTGGGAAGAGGCCCTGAGGATGGGCAGCCTGGAAGCCTCGCTGGGTGTCAGTGGACTCCCACTGATTTGGGCCCTTTGTCCACACACATAGAGTGAAGCCAAAGAGTCATTGTTCTCTCTGAGCAGTGAGAACCAGACCAGGGGGCAGGGCTCCTCAGGGAGAGGGAGGTAGGATCCGGTGATGAGGGGCCAAGAGGAAGAAGAAGGTGTTCTTCCCCACTCCTTCTAGCGGGTCACAGAGTGCCTCTGGAAAAGCTGGACAGAAGATCAATTAGTGAGACTTCAAATGCCCTGCACAATGAGAATTTTTTATTTCCCAAGACTGTGTGCAAGCCCCCAGTCTGTGGGCAGGTCTGGGGCTGCGGGAGGGAAGAAGCTGGAGGAGCCACAGGAATGGGGAGAGCTTCGGCTTCCTTAGTCCTAGCTCACATCTTCCCAAGAATGGCCAAACACGTGGAGGCTCTGGTGGCACCATAAACTCCTTTTCCTGCGGACGTTCTCTCCACTTCGTGAGTGCAGGCCACCATGGAAAGCAGCCCCCAGCTTCACAAGGACTGACGCTGTCTCAGATCCCCTAATCCCTGCTCTTCTCTGTCCTTCCCACCTAAAACTCCTGCTTCTGCCCACACCAGGTGCAGCAGACAAGGCTCCGAATGCATCCGTTGCTGGCTGCGTGATTCTACTCGAGCATGAACTCATGGGCTTTTCCTTACTTGCTCCTCCAGTGTGCGTTAGAGGCAGGCGAGATGTCAACATCTACCCGACTGGGCCGTGAATCTGTGAATCACTTCTAATATTTCACACTCCAAAATCAGCTCAATGCCACGGCCTCTCATTCTTGCCATTCTAAATTTTGGGAGTAAACGTCCCAAGTACCGATTTACCTATGCAAGCCAGTTTATATTATCATCATGAAGTATCCTTACATTTTTCTCCTAATAAGATACTTTCAGAGTGGCTCAGGGTCTAAGTGTTTTTCTGAGATGTGATGTCATTTCTTTTCAAATTACAAGAAGGTAAGACCAGTGAGGACGAGGGACAGGTGTTCAACATCTCCATCTTAGCTCTTTCCCCGTCGCGGTGCTGAAGTGTTTGCCAAACCAATTTATTTTTCTATTCTTTGATAGAAATATGAGATCATGATATATTTAGTCTAGTGGTGTTGAACTTACATCACATGTTTTATTTTTCAAGACAAAAATGTTAACATATGAATTGTTTTTCTAACCTCAGTATTCTAAGCTCCACCCAGTATTCAGGTTTAATTGCAGTGCTGACACTTTGCAATAAATAAGCGGATTTTGGATTGCATTTTGGGCACTTGTCTCTACCAGGTTTGGCATCACTAATTTAACTGAAAGTGTATATTCCTATGAATCTTTTATACTATCTACAGTATAAAATGTAAAAGTTCCACAATTCATAAGCAGATTTTTCCATTGCAGGCAAATCAGCAGCAGAGAGTGTTGTTGTAAAGATGTCTGCCACAGAAATTCTAGGAAAAACTGCCTCACTACTACATGACTCCCTAAACTGATGCAGTGAATCTCATTAAGTTATTCAGAGTGAAATGTATTTATGCCAACAAAAGATTGCTTTCAGACAGAGCTTATTTGCTCTGATTACTGAGGGTTTTGATAGAAGAGAACGCAAAAAAAAAAAAAAAAATAGAGATATGTGGTCCTAGAAGAATTAAAAAAATAAATATTCCTTCCAAGTTTGCTGCACCTGGGAGCAGAACGTGATCTTGCTAAGGCTTTCCTAGTACACACGCACCCACAGGCTTAGAAAGACCGCAGCTGTGACAGGCTGACTGCTCTCTGAGAGACTGCTCTGCATGCTAGCTAACAGCAAGGAGGCTCTGAAGAATCCATTAAAAAGATTTATTTTTTCCCAAAAACAAAAGGGAAAGATTTATTTTTAAGCAGTGACATGAAAGGAACAGAGGGAGAGAAGATGCTTTGAAAGATCTTGGCAGAATCTCCACATGCAGCTGAGTCTCCTGGCGCCTGCTTTGTTAGAGAGTTTGTTCCTTCTTAAGGAAACAGAGCATTATGAAGTTTTACCATTATTTTTAAGCTAAATAAGCCAACCAAGATCATGACACTTTCCTGTAAGATCCCCAAGTGTACACATCAAGAGAAGTTAAATGACACTTAAAGACCTTGCTTGAGGCTCTTTTGGTTACCAGATTATGCAAAATAAAATGCTGATGGAAAAGGCAGCAACTGGGAACGAAATGCAGTCATGCAGTGAAACTGACACTGATCCACTGTGTCTCCCAGGGCAGGAAATAGGTGAGAGCAGACCCCTTTGTGGACAAGTGAGACATCCCAGAGGCGCACCTGTCTCCGGGCATGAGTAGACCTCTCATCCTCCCCTCCCTGCAGCCAACCAGCTCCACCAGCTCAGCCAGAAGTGATGGGGGGAGGGGGGTCTGGTCCCCAAGCAGGGGTGACTGCAACCCTTGTGATAGACTCCAATGGTGGGAGGGAGTAAGGAGGGAGCGAAAACCAGCAGTTTATCAATCTGTCCCTCAGCGATGTGAAAGTTTTATTGATCTGTTCTTTAACAGATCAACATAGCCCAGATCAGAAAGGAAGTGGAGCCCCAGGCGTGTCATGGCTGGGAAGGAAGAATTTTTAGATAAATAATCTCATTATTTTCCTGATTCATAGCTTTTCCTACACGTTTCCCTCCTTTTACTTAACACTGACTGTTCCATTCTCTGTGTTTTCTTAAACATGAAGTCCTTTTTTTTTTTTTTTTTTTTTTTTTCTGGTCTTTTTGAGACGGGGTCTCGCTATGTTCAGTTCAGGCTGGCCTCGAGCTCACTTTATAGCCCAGGCTGGTCTTGAACTCGCACCGACCCTCCCACCTCGGCCTCCCGAGTGCTGGGATTACAGGTGTGAGCCACCACGCCTGGCATGAAGTCCTTATTTTGCTTCTGATAGAGTGGAAAGAGAACTTTTCCTACCACAGGCTTATTTTTTAACAGAATATCAGGATTTCTCTCCTCTGGCCACTTAGACACTACAACTTGGCCAAGAAAACTCTCCTCTCCAGCCCCTTCATTACTTTCCACTTGTCTTGTAGAGATGAGCTCAAATGTTATTTGCTGCAGGAAATTTGGTCTGGAATCCCCAATGATCTCGTACCCCCATGTTTTCATTTATGTCTTTTGCACATATAATAATTTCAATTAAACAGTTCAACAGTTAGTGTAATATCTTCCTTCCCCATAGGGAAGTAAGTAATGGATTTGACCGCTTATTCTGTGAGGTGCTCCATACCACTGTGTAAACACAGTTTCAAGTACACAGAGTCTGGCCAACAAGTATTCAGTGTAGGAACAAGCACAGAGTATGCAAGCTGAGAAATGAATGTAAAACTGTAAGAATTTAAACTATTATCCGTGTGGTCCACTTGGAAGAATACTTATTCTTTCCCAAGTGTTTATCCAAGCTTTTGCTCTATGCAGATGGTCTGATCCCCGGGGTAGACTAAGCTTCTTCCTTGTCTCTACCGTGTTAATGCTTGGGAAAAACCCAGGCTTGTTGTTTTTAGCCCCACCCGCCCCACCTTAGAAGTAAAAGCACGTAGACTAGTCTAGGAGTGTTAAAATGTGGTGTGTTAAGTTAGAGTTCTCCAGCGCAATAAAGGAGCAGATTATAAGAAAAAGTAAAAGTGGCCTTTTTATTTAAAGGACATGGAGAGGAGCCCACAACCAGCCAAGGTTTGGCTTCTCCTCTACCTGGATATGGGGGTGTGGGGTACGTGTGACCCTTGACTGAATGTGGTACTTGGGGCGGGCATTGATGACATGTGAGGAACTGACTGGAATTTTCTTCGAGCGCACTGGGAAAGGAAGGAGGAAGTTGTAATCAGGGAAGAAAGAGGACGGGGCTGGCAGGGCAAGCGCTCCTATTTGGCTTTCCACCACGCTGAACTACTGCCATAATGTCCTGTAATTTATCTTAGGGCAAAACTCTTGCAGCGAGCATTTGTTAATGTAAGAAGAAGAGTATTCTTCCATGTCAGTGCGGAAGCCTGACCCCAAGGGATGTGCAGGGGCATTGTCCTTGAGTGACTCCTCTGACCTGTTTATGATGGGCTATTATCATGCTTTGTTTTGGTTCTCTTGTGTTTGATGATTTTTGTTGTTTAGTCTGAACATGAAATACTAGAATAAACTTCAAGCAATAATTACCAGAAAGGTAGCCATTAAAAACATTGCTCTAGGAGTGGCTAAAGATTAAAGAACCCCCTCCGCCCATTTTTCACCTGCACTGGACTAAATGGAGGGGAAGAGATGCTTACAGAACTCTGACAGTGCTAAAAGCACAGGTGCTAGGCTGAGAGGTGTTGCCAGGAATATTCACAGGACGCTGCTAGGAGACCACTGTGGAGGTTCAGGCTGCCATCGGCAATGTGGCACATGAGTGCAAAAGAAAGACAAGGAAAGTTCTGCAGATGCCCAGCTCTGGGATGACCAGCTCTGGGATGACCAGAGGCTCTCTACTGCACAAAGGGCCACGAGGCCCGA